TCCTGCTGACTTACTTCCCATGTCCTTGTCGCCGTCACGTTTGGGGTGCTGCAGGGTCAGGCTGACCTGCTCAGTGGTGTCCTCGAGCTGCACCAGAGCTGTGGGTTCTAGGAGAAACCAGGATGAGCAGTGCTGACCACATGGCCTGCTGCCTCTCACCCAGGACTGTCCCTGGGCCTTCTCCTGAACTGCTTCTCTCCCTCAGGATGTAGGGCCATCCTGTGTGGCAGGAGTAGGATGCTCGCTTGCATGCTGGCTCCCCAACTTGGGCATAGAACCCATGGTCTCTGGCACTGCCTCCAGGAAGACCCACTTTTCTCCAAGTGGGGCCAGCCCTCACTGCCAACCCTCCACAGGGACCTGGCTTCCACTGCTGCCCCGGCCAAAGCTTCTTTGTGAAGGTAACCAGTGGCCTGAGGCAGTGCCTAACCTCCTGCTGACCTCCTGGCCTCAGCTTCTAAGTCTCCTTCAAACTCCATCTCCTCTCCGCCACCCCTGATTCCCGGGGGTGATGACACCTCCTCCCCCTCATATCTGCGCTCAGGCAGATCGCACACTTGGCCACCCCTAACTGCCGGTCACGTTCTCTGCATTTCCCTGCCTCTGCCCTCCCCACTCCTGGTCACCGAGGGCTGTGGACGCTCTGCCCTCCCTCATCACTCTCTGGTGCACCTGTCCCCTGCCTTGGAATGCTGTCATTGGCAGGAACTTCTCATTGAACTGGTGATTAGGCTCTCTGCCAGAGAACTCTGTGAAGGTGGGATTCTGGCTTAGTAGTGAGGGTGAGGGTAAGGCCTGGGGATCCCCACCCATAGTCTGAGGTCGTCTGTGGCAGCCTGCAGGCCTGTCATGTCAGGATTTTGGGGAAGGCCTGCTTTGCCAGGAGGGAAGGGCCAGGGCTTCTCAATGCATTGCTCATGCCCTATACTGCTGGGCCAGGCAGAGGTCCCGCTAGTCTGGGCCAAACAGGACATAAACCCAAAGGCTTTGCTTTAACATGGGATATGATCTCATTATGATGAGGATGTGAGCTCCTGGGGCCACACTGTGAGTGCCAGTCACCTGGCTCCTTGTTTGCAGACGGATTCCTCCTGCACAGCTCCGAGCAGGACCCTGCATGTCTAGCAGCCCCCAGGCTGGTGTTGCTGGTCCAGGGACCTCTGTGAGTAGCAACACCTCAGATGGAGCCACACTCTCCTGTCTACTGCTTACCAACAATGCTTGGAGTCCTGGCTTCACAAGCAAAGCTTCCATGTCTTGGACCTGCTTCTAATACGTTAACTTTTCATCCTCTCTCATGCGCCCTGCCAGCAACCTGCACCCTCAACCCGTATTAGGAAGGTTCTTCTGACTCTGGGTGGCGTGAGTAATTCATGCTGACCCCAGAGGCCAGGGCTGTGGGCACTGTCCAGAGATGATGTAGGCACTGGGAGTCATCTTGAGTTCAGGTTTAGGGGCCTCATCCCTTCTGTGCTGGAGGTGGTGAGTGACAGGCCACTAAGGTTGGCATTGGTACTCACGTGATCTCATGGTGACCGATTTGCCAGGTGAGCCACTGAACTTGGCACTCACTCGTCCTCTGCCGTCTACGAGCTCCGAGAACCTGCCGGGAGAGTCATCAGTGTCGCCACACGGAGCTCTATGCCTAGGGCCATGCCAGGTTACCCAGAGGGGGCTGATGGCAGAGGCGTGTACCTGGGCGCCTGCGTTGGCATTTCGAGGGCCCCATGGTCACTGAGTAGACGCAGCTCCGGCAGGCGCGCTGGGACTGGTCTGTTTCTGAGCACCCGTGGGTGGAGTCCTTCTCGGTGCCAGCGTCTGTCGGAGCTGTCCCTTGGGGCTGCAGGCAGTGAATGACGGGGTCGGGGGCACATAAGGCAGGTCTGGGGCTTCCCTTTGTCTCCTTCTCGCCCCACTGCTCAGAGAGAACTAAAGGGTCCTGACTGTCCCTGCGGTCCAATGTGCTTTATGGCTTTGTGAGAAGCCTAGACCCCACACCCCACCTGAGGAGGAGCCACAGCATTCCTACTGGGAAGCAGACACTGCCTGGCAGTGTTGAGGGGAGCTGGTCCTAGCCCCACACCCTGGGTCCAGGTTCCCCACCTGTAGGGCAGGGCCAGGCATCCGACCTGGAGGGACTTCCCTTGGCCGAGGCCGCCACCCCACACCTGCCCTGAGAATGACAGTATGGTTTCTCGGTGGGTCCTTGTCATCTAGCTACGTGCTTCAGCCCCTGTACACCCCTCCTCCCTGGACCAGCTCATGGAGGTGGCCCCAACATGCCCTGGAGCTGAGCTGCGCTGGGTCTGACTCCAAGCAGCCTGCCATGCTCAGACACACCATCTTCCACACCACCTCCCGTGAGCTCTAAAGTATGAGCAGGGCCATGCAGGACCTCGGGGGGACCCGAAGGGCCTCCATGCACTTGGGGGCAGGTCCACATCCTTAGTGTGGCCCATTGGAGTCGCCGTGCTCCTGAGCTGCTTCCCTTCTGTCCATCCATCCTGGCTTTCCTTCCTGCCTTTCCCCGCAACCCTTCCTATGGCTGTCCTGGCCTCTATTTCCCCTGCTCCTGTCCAGTGGCTCCTCTTGGGTCAGCCTGGCCCCTTCCCTGGGCCCTCCCATACTGCTCTCCTCACTGGGGTCCACAGAGTTGGACGGCACAAGGTGAGGAGCAAAATGCTGTTTTTCCAAGTTGCATTCTGCTGACCCAGCATCAACTGTTCATGAACCCTTCCTTCCCCACCGCTTTTCACGCAAATTCACCTGTGTGGACACAGTTCTATTTCTAGGCTGTCTGATGTCCTTTCAACAGTGTGGCCATGCGGGGTGAGGGTCGTGGGGTGCAGGTGGCCCACCCGGCCCTGTGCCCGCTGCCCTGCACTCACAGGTGATGATGTAGAGGTGAGCAGGCTCGCTGTGCAGCTGGTCACCCTCTGTGCTCTGCACGGCTGTCACTGAGAGCTGGTACCGCCGCCCGGGCACCAGGTCCCGTATCGTGTAGGACACCAGCCTCCCATTGGGGACATAGCGGCTCTTGGTGCTCTGGCTGGTGGTCACGTTGATGACGTACGCCTCCAGTGAGGTGCCTGGAGTGGGGGCATCCCAGACCACATGGGCAGAGGTGGCCGTGACTCGGGTGGCAGTCAGGTTTGCTGGCGGCAGAGGCCCTGGAAGAGGCACAGAGCAGGGGAGGGAGGGGAAGGGGGCTGATGGGTTCTTGTGTCCAGGACATAGTTTAAAGATCTGACACGGCCTGCAGAAGCCACATTTGAAGCCAGATTTAGTTACTGTGGTCCTGAAGAATGGGGGTGGGGGTCTGTAGCACTCTCCTCCTGTCCAGAGACCCACCCCCACAATGTGGCCCGCCAGCACCCAGCAAGGCCCTGAACCTGCTCAGTGTCCCCTCCTGTGTGGCACTTCTGACCCCCCTGAGCCTGGCCACACCCCTTCTCCTGGGATGTAGAAAAGGGGAGTGGGTCCCAGCATTCAGGGTCAGAGCAAGGACTTAAGCCTGTGCTGACTCCTTGCCCCACCTGGTCAGGCCCTGCTCACACCTTCCCTCTCACCAAGCCAC